AGGGTGCAACACATGAACACGGCACCCGTTGCGAACCGCCACATACCAGACATTCTCCTTCATCGCCATGTCCGTGATGCCCGCCATGAGCGCTACTGTTTCCTCCGGTATAAGGAGCTCCTTTTGCACCGGCCCCTTCTTGGGCCACAGCCGAGACTCCTGTTGCATCTCTTCCAAAATGTCTCCCACTCTGGTCCACCGACCCCATTTATCCCGTGACCCATGGTCCCTGCCCATCCGCGAAAGATAAAGCCTATATCTTAATTTTTTCCGATCCCTAATCGACAAGCTTTCCATGACTCCGATCGCTTTGTCCTTGGCCGGGAAGTTCGTCATTGACGTTGGCGTGTTCGTGAAGATGTTGAACGGCCTCCGGTCCTCTCTTGTGGCATTCGGTGACTTTTTGCCCGGTGCCTCCGATGCATGCAGCGATGTTGACGACTCGTGGTCCGCACGGGTGCCCGTTTCGCTCGGCACAGTGTCATGGCTTTCACCTTTATGGCCGGTGCTTTCTATTCCCCGTGATTGCGTAGGTCCTATACTCCGCGTATGCTCAACATTTTTACGCCCGGGCAGTGAGCCAGCTGGCTCGGCAAGACCGGTCTCGACAGCGGAGTGAGTGGAAATCCATCGCCGTGTGAAAATGCCGAAGGACGATTTCCGGTGACGAGATGACGCTCGGAGGACGGGACGAACTGAGCACAGCGGATCCTTTCCGGAGGGAGTATAGTTTATTGACGATGTTGATATATCTTTTCGCAAGGTCGAGGTAAACCAGCCAGGGTAGAGAAAGAGTAAGGGTTCTTCGGGGCCAGCGGCGACGTTGTCCAAGACAGCGGATAGACCACGTCTTCTCAGACACGGATGGCCGCGCGAGAACATATGGCAGGACACAAACAGATTCCCAGAGGCATGTGAGATTGATTCGTCAAGAGAATGTGTCTATGTCGTGTTGTATACGCACGCTGGTAGAAATTCGACTGGAGGTCAAGCTCAGTCTGGAAGTTCAGGAAAATTGCCTGCGGTGCCAGAACGGCAGGCGGTGGGGTTCGGACCGCTTAAGCTTCCTCTAGGCGGAGCATCAAAAGCATTGCGGAATTAACGAATCTCAGCTAACCGTCGATGATGTCGAATTGAATTATTTAGGGCTCAAACAAGAAAGGTGTCTAGGCAAAATTTTTGTGCACAGCATTTTATTATTTAACGCTTGAACTGGGGGTACTAGACGCTAGAAGCAAAAGAAAAAAAAATGGTATCCAACGCTCAACAAGCTGAACACAACCCTCGACATGCTGTCACTTACAGCAAGGTAGCTGCCTCTCCATCGAAGGACTTACATCCAGGGGTTAGGATGGACGGTGTATATGGCCTTCAAGACCAATTTCAGCCGCCTCGGGGATACCCTTGATCTGTCCGCCATTGTCGATCGGTTCGAACGAAGACCTTTTGGAGCAGTTCTCCAATAGATTATGCTTTGAGGCAGGAGTTAAGTTCATCGACTCGTGGTGTTCGGAACCTAGTAACTCGGGCCCCGTGATATGCCGTCTCGCTGTCTCTGCAGCTTTCGTGAGGTTGTGTTGCTTGCGCCGCCTCTCTTCGGCGTCTGTATTGTCTTTTCTAGCTGCTTCCTGCGAGAGGTCGTTGATGACATTCTCCAAGTGGTTGAGGAACTGCCATCTCGAGTTTTGGAAGACAAACATCGACATGATTTCAGGGATCTACCCGGTAGTCAGTGGACTATTTATTAGAGATGAGAAACGAGTGATTGATATACCTTGTCATCCAGGTAGAGGAGCTCTTCGCCCCCATCCTCGATGAAACGCTTCAGAGCGTCTATCTTCTCACGATCAACAATGGCAGCCTTCAGGGCATACATTAGTGTAGGAATGTTGCCTATCTCTTCCAACGGAGCCTCCTCTTCCACTCCAGTGGTTGTGCGGCGCACATTCCCCGACGCCGCTATTGAACTGGCGGCTTTGCTTTGCTTCCGCACAGAGTGAATTGTAAAATAATCCTCGTTCAACATGTGAGCCATCTCGAATCCCGAGCGTCCACGATGTGTCTTCTCCACAGTGCGCTTTATGCGCAGCCTAACCCATCGTCGTCTTCGAACAAAAGAATGGAACCAGGGATGAGACCCATGCCAGGCTTTTGAGCTAAACGAGAACGAATACTGCCAGCCCTGGTCGTCGACGTCGCCCGACATATCGACATACCATGACGGCCAAGCCCATTCCCAGCTTGGGTCTGGCAGCTGGGCGTTGGTGATGTTAACGGGGCTCTCGCGGAAGTCGTGCGTGACCCAAGGGCCAGGGTCGAAATTGAGTAGCGAGCTGTGCGAGTACAGCGGAATGCCGAAAAAGAACCAGCCGCGCTGATTCTCGTAGAGAATGTCCAATTCGCTGACGGAATGAGTCCCTTTGGTGTCATTTTTTGGACCGTAGCCCTGTTGTTGGTGAGGCACCGCGGAATCGCGCTCGCCATTCGTTGAGGGCGCAAAATCCGTCGCATCGATGTCATGCTGCTCGATCGCGGCTTGAGACGGGCCAGCTAAAGCGCTATCTCCAGATATGATATTTGCATTCGTATTCACATGAGTCAATGGATTCACCGATGTTGACGGCATTCTGCTCAAGCTACTGTCGTCCGAGAGCCTCAGTCGGTCCGGCTGCCATTTGGCATACTTTCGTCGCTTGAGTTCACCGCGGATGGACACTCTGCTGAGTCGCCTGGAGCCGGTTTGCGATCCTGTAGCCGAGGGGATTTGAGACAACGCCTCTTCATCGGAGCGACCTGGGGGACCGGTATGGTCGGCGAGGGTAATCCGGCGAACGTCTTCCATGGTAATGATGACTCCACGGATTACCTCGATATTATATCAGAATTTTGTTGCAACAGGCCTCCAAGTTTGTCTTGGCAGGGCACTGTAACATTATCGTAACATGGTATGGCAATCAATGTAAGACAACAGCAATGAATGGACGTAGATGAACGCGGCATCCACTGAAGCCTCCCGACGAAAGAAAAGGGATGGGAACAAACAGCTCTTATAAGCTGGCAATCCAGAGAAAATAGGACAAAGAAACGCAAACCTAGTACCAACTCAATCCCCGACAAAACTTCGCAGATAGGACCAGAAATTGAAGCAACAAACAAAGGGGTAAACGTGCAACGTTCATGAAGCTTCCAAGGCCGCAAGCTATATAGAGATCTCCAAAACCAGATCGATGACATCGTTGCGGGGCCAGGATCGACATGTTGCCTTAGGCAGAAAACACTTTCTCTTCAAGCAATGCTGCCTGAGGCATCAAATCCTCAACACCTAAAATCACTATCGATAGGCACCCCGTCCGACCAGAGTAAATAATGATAGAACATCCCGCACCGCGTCCACCAGCAACAAATCAACAGAACTACCAACCAAGCAGCAATAATAAAGATGTCAACCCCTCACTACCGCAAAATCGAGCTCCAATCGCCCGCAGACTTCACCTATCTCTACGCCAACACCGTCGCTCTCTCCCGCCAAAAGCTCGATCTCCATCTTCCCCCCTCGGCAAACACAAGCGATGGACCAGATCCCATGCGAGAACGCGTGAAGGAATTGGTCGACCAGGTACTACCTCTCTTCTCCCCTGTGATTAATATGTCAAACTCTAACAAAATGAGCCGTAGTACATCAATCAAACATTCACCACCGCCTCCGCCTCAATCAGCATCAACGGCCTCGACTCCTCCTCGTCACAGTTCCCCTTCCCCGCTGCGTTCACGCAACCAACAGAGACAATCGAGTACGAGCCCTACGACACCGAGCTCGCGGCGCGCGTGACATCGCTCTACGCCCAGCTGGAGTCACTTACCACGACAGTCGCGCAGTTGAGGCGGGATGCGCCGGCGCGTGCGGCGAAGGCGTACGCAGAGCAATTGAGGAAAGCTATCGAGGAAGACGAGGAGGATACGGGCGAGGACGAGGATGTTGATGGTGACGACGGAAATGAAAACGAGGATGGAGATGGCGAGTGGGAAGAAKACGTCCCTATGCCTGATGCGGATGCACGAAGCGCAACGGCGCAGAACGGATCACGCAGGCCCCGCCGGAGACCCTCGAAGTCGAATTCTGCGCGGTGGAACTTGCAGATTCCCCTCGGGTCGGAGCATGAGGCGGAGCGCTGGCGCAGCAGGGAGATGGCGGAGGTTTATGACGATGCGTTGCGGACTTTACTCCGGCTTCAGGGTGAGGCAGTCCCTGGCGAGCAAGTCGAGAGCGGGCCGGATGGGAATGCGCTGTCCTCGACACTGGGCAAGGCTGAACGAGCGGGTCGGGCTGCGGAAGTCGTGGAGAAGATGTGAGGCTGAAGGATTTCCCTATTTTCGTTCTTTTTCCTTTTTCTGGTTCTCGGCGATATCCCCCTGGAAGGTTATTTGGCGTTGGAATAAAGGCTAGTGTTAAGGTAGTGATACCAATCTCGTTTACAAACATCATTTCTGCATTTCTCATCGGGGCCTGCAAATGCCGGTTTGGTTTGGTTAGATCAAAGTAAAAGTGTACGAGAACGTGCAGTCATTTTTTTGACTACCCATAGTCAAGTAACCAGGTTCCAGACAAGATAAACACTTTATATTCAACCCTGCAATCCGTTATCACCCTTGTCTCCATCTATAAAAGCACCGCGCCACTCCGTCAGAGTTGTTCACTATCTATGTTTGGATATTGAGAAGAGGAAAAGAGATAAAACACGTCCCCGGTCGGCCCTACAAGCCACTCCGCCAGGGTAACATTCGACCAGTTATTGATTTTATGCGATGTTCAAATGCGATCAGAAAGGACACGGTCGAAGGCACAAGGAGTGTGACTGTCCCAGGGATGATTGATAGAGACAGCATTGGTGAAGAACACACAGGCCGACATGGATGATAGCTGAATTCTTTACCACATGAATCCAAGAATTTATGTATGCAAGGCAAACGAGAAGCACAAAAGAGCAAGAAGGACAAATAGCCTACGCTACGGGCTCAGAGCCCTCTTGCGCGGCAGGATCCTTCACCACAGGACCTGAGTCTTCATTTTTCACGACATTCTGTTCCTCCTTAGGCAGAGCCCACTTGGGCGGCTTAGCCCACTCGGKCTCTTGCCAGGGACCCATATCGCTGAGCTCACAGCCTCCAGCGCACTCGCAGGTACCGCCGAATTCAACAGGGAGGTTCTCGGCAGGGACCTGCTCCAGCAATTCCTTCCTGTAACCGGAACCAAGGACGTGGATCTTCTGCACGGTGACGGGGTCGAGGAATCCCTTGACGACGTTGAACACGCTGCTGAAACCCCAGGGGGCATTGATCAGGTACAGCTTGCCCAGGCGCTCGGGGTAGTAGTTCTGCGAGATGGCGGAAGCCTGACGCACGTATCCGTACACGGAGGGGACGCTTGTGATTCCGACGCCTTTCAGGTCCATTATGGTGCAGCAGGTCTCGAGCAACTTGCCAGCCTTGCGCGAGCAGGCGGGCAGCCGGGGGTCCGCGAGCTTCTCGTACTCGCACACCAGGTTCTGCAGCATGCGCTCGGCGGTTGTGATCTTGTACATGGCGTTGAGATCGATCTTGCCCAACTTCTCAATGTAGACAGGGCGTCCATCCTATCCGACAAAAGTATTCATTAGCACGTAGATGACAAACCACCATCTAAGCACCCCAAAATTCGCCTACCTTGTCTGTCTTGTGATAGTATTGAGGGTAGTACTGGAAGACCTGGGGCTTCTCCTTGTACTCGAAGGTGCGAACGAGGTCGTCGGTGCCGAATTCTTTCCGCCACTTCTCACAATCGATGAACCTGGTAAAAGCAACGAATCCACGTATTAGCCGATGGAACAATGATCGGCATCCACAGTACAAGGCCAATCGGCAGAGACAAGTAGCCCTTGAGAACAGCAAGGCGGGACGGTCAGCAAACATACATGGTCTTAGCGGCAGCCACATCAAACTTCCTGGCTCTCAAGAAGCGCAGCATGGTCAGAGTGTCCAGTCTGTCCGTGTATCCCAGCTGCTCCAGCTCACTACGGAGCTGCTCAACCTTTGCATCCTGCTCTGGGGTAGTGTGGCCAGGGTGGCCTGGCTGCGGTTCAGGCGCAGTGGTCGGGAAATCATAGTTGTCATATTTCGACGTCGTGGCCGACTGGTTCTGAGCTACAGCAGCCATGGTTGCTAATATGGTAGGATGGAATTTGAGAAAAATACAAGGTGAAGAAAGTTATGGAGACTTGATATGGAAATCGAGGGTTGGTCAAGAGCTTTATTAAGAAATTATTGATCGAAAAGGGGAGGGGAGTGGGGAAATAGATAGATTGAGGGAGGCGGAGTTCAGAAAGTATAAGATAGTCGACTTTCTTGATTGCTTCAACGGTGGCAACTTGCAGTCGAGTGAGAGGAGTGAGAGGAAAATGAAGAAGATTTATGTTGTAGATAGATCAGAGCATAACCACAGATGGCTAGAGTTTGGAGGAGAAGGATCCAATTGAGCTGGCCGAGGGATAAGTCTCCGTCTTCCGTGCTGTCGACCAGCAAGAAACGGTCAAGGAACACGATACTAAGGGAGGGCCTCTAAAACGCAGCCGCTAGCGTATTAAGAGGGGCAGGCGAACTTCTTGACAAGACAGAAAACTTGCAGACTACGTAGACAAACACTACGAGATCCACCAGTCTACAAAGTGTCGGTCTGCATCAAAAGGCAGGACCGTATAGATACGTTATCAAAGTCTTAGGTAAGTATAATGGCTAAGAGGAGGACCATTTCCTCCCATCAATAATATAGTACCTAGTGATACCTACTGACCTCCTGTGGGGCTGCAAAAAGCCACTTGGCTGGTATTTATTTTCATTGAAAACGTGGCTCATACATGTAGAGTTCATGAATACTAGATAAAGATATAGTTACATATTCACATAGACGGTCAGAGCTCATTGCACCGGCGCGTCTGTGAGACACATTGTCCCAATCAGAAGCAGGTCCATAGAGGGCATTGGTAGTCAAGGCCGGAGCACAGATCTGACCAACCCCAAGACACAAACGACCCAGGCAATAGCACATGGTCCATCCAAGCTAAATCACAATGGAGAGTAGGGTGTCATTCAACAAGACACGAAGAAGAAAAAGACAAAAAGACACCAAGCCGAATAAGCTTACAGGCAGCGAAGAGACGCAGGAAAAGGCCAACCACCCGGTATAAGGCAAGATGGGACAGCAGATGCAACTCATACCGCCAAAGAAGATTCAGAAACAATATAGTCGTGAAACAGTGGTGTATCAAGAAGCATTCACAAAATATCAATCATCCAACAGGTATAAACGTCGCAAGCAAAAGACAACATACAGTGATAACAGCGAAATAAAAAAGCCAACATGACAAAGTCAAGCCCAGCTATGGCGTGTTCCCGAACCAGCGGACATCCATAACCAAGGCGAGATATTTGCTCACCATATTACAAGGATGTTCCCGAGTACCAGCAGGATAAGAGTATAAGGTATCAAAGCCAACAAGTCATAGGGTATCTGAAATTCGTCCCCTGCTCGAACGTCTAGCCCCATACGAGGGACGTGCATTGAAACAGGGAACGGAGTAGAATATCGTCCATCGCCGTTTCATAACGCGGAGCAGGTCTTCTCATGTCGAGCCCGCGCCCAAACTGCCTATAAGCAGCGCGCCTGAGATCTCGCCCTCCTTCGTCAAATGGAGAATTGTAACACAGCATGGCCTTTAAAACGAAGGATTTAGAGTTTCTTCAGGACGTTTGCAGCCAGCCATCTGCTCCATCTCGTACACATCGTAATATCAAATCGTCTGGTAAGACACTGCGCTGATCATCTTACCAACCCTTCTTCCGTGCAAACCGCTTATTAAGAAGCGTGAGCACTTTAGAAACGTTAAATTGGACATACTCGAGATCGAGATCTTCAAGGTTGTCCTTTTGCATCTCCAGCAGATCGTCGAGCTTGAGATCCAGCTCCAAAAGACCTCGCGCACGACCTAGATACATAACACATGATCAGCCACCGCAGTAGAGTAAATCAACACAAACGGACAGCTGCAGCTGTACTTACCTTTGTAATGAAGACTGATGACAAAGGTGCCGGGGAGAGGGCTCTTGAACATGAAGTAGATGTTGGCTCGCCGATTTTCCGGTACGTTGCTCTTCCGAATGACACCCTCCTTCTCGAGTTGCTGGTGGGTGAACTTGTACGGTCCCAGCTCCTGGTGCTTTTGTTGTTTCCGCTGCTTGCCCTCCGACTGACTGCGAACGTTGTGCAAGTAAGATTTGTAGGTTTCCAACTGGCCCACCAGGTACGCGTTGTGGTCGCGGATCGTTGCGAAAACTTCCTCGAGCTTCTTTGTCTCTTCAAGGACCTTCTCCTTCAAAGAGCCAAGGTGGACTAATTCCTGCTCCACCTCATCTCGCAAAAGACTGAAGTCGTCAGAACGGTCAATGACGCCCATCTCCTGTAGCTGACTCAACAGCTCCATGGTTCGGATGCCCTTTCGCACCATCACCGCATCGTTCTTCAGAGTGGCTGCCGCCTCTGCGATTCGATCCAGCCGAAGAGGCCGTCGGGCGATCGCCGAGTTCGGAGGCAACGATCGCAGAATCTGCACGAAAGTCGATTTCGCTTCCATGAAAAACACTTCCTCCTGGGTGATATCGAGGGCCGCCGTCAAATCGTCAAGAGCAGTCTCCCATCGACTAAATAGAGGAACAGTGATTGTTCGGTTTTCCTTTCGCGGGACCTGCGCGGGTGCAGCTCCCAGTTCTTGTAAGAGCTCGTTGAGGTGAGAGTGCTGATCCTGTGCCAGAGCCAGGCTGTGCTTTTCCAGCAGAGCATGAGTAGCATACATCTCATTCAGAGTAATCTGCAACTCAAGGTCGCGCTTGGAGAGAGCTACATAATTATCCATTTCCAAGCTCTCGTAAAAATCTTGGACTTCACAAAGGTCCAACAAGAATTTGTTGACACGCTCCTTGTTCTGCTGGATGAAGGGCTGAAGCTTAGCCATGTATGGCTCCTTGGCATACGAAGGCTTGTTAGCCAAATTCTGGAGCATTTTCGCAATCAGTGTAAGGGTGCGACGAGGCTTTTCGGTCGGAACGGATTCAATAAGCATGTAGGACCGGGGGGTGACAATAGCGGGATTAATGAATCGAAGGAAGAAGAAACCGCCGATCAGTGTGCAAATAGTCTGATCTTGGGCATCCGGGTATTTGCGGCGAGACAAGCTCCGAATCTGCTTGCAAATCCATCTGATACCGTAGGGAGCCTCGTCCACGGAGTTAATAATTGTCGTCAGGAACCCGTTCGCAATGTCGGTCAGCATTTTCAGCCGCGGCTCAATGATAGCCTGTACCTGTGCGTTCTCCGCAGCCACCTCGGCTGTGACTGACTTTGGCAGATGACTGGGCAACGAGCCAGTTTCCTCTTCAATTCCCCTCACCATGTTCTCGTATACTTTCAGAGGATTGATCTCCAGATCAACATCGCGCAGCTCAATTAGAGCATTGATCTGTTCCGCCAGCACTTGCTTCAAGTAACTTTGGCCAGGACCGCGACGCGTGTAGGTGGTCATCATGCGAGAGACAGGTGTATTTTGTCGCAATAGTGACGAGTACTCGGGGGTGTTATCGAATTGGTAAGTGAGAACAGACTGAAACATGGTCAAAAGAAGATGCTCTTCACGGCTCTCGTACTGGTTTCCGTAGATGGTGAACATGACGGTCTGAAGAAGGGAGTCGATTTCCGACATGGAGACGAGTCGACACAGATGAGCGATGTGCCGGGGTTCGGACTGCAGAAGAAATAAAAGGTTTCCATATTTCTGGGTCTTCTCATCATTGGGGAAGAAACCCTCTTGAGGATCTTCGTCATCAAGGTGGTTTGCAACTTCGTTTTGCTGCGAGAGATGTGAGCGACCTCTCAAAGGCATCCAGTTTATGGGGAATAATAACAACATACCTCTTCGAGCGCCATCCGGTTCTGAATGAGCAAAGCTATCCGAGAGTCCAGATATCGGACATCTTTTTCAAGAACGAAATTCTTCTTCGACTGCGAGGAGATTTTCGCTTTGAGTTCCCGTAGATATTTTTGAGCTGTTCCAGAACAGATTAGAAATCTGAAGCTGTAGATTACGACCGAGCCAATTGAGGTAACTCACCCTTCGCCAGATCATCGGAAATTTCAAGATCTCTGTCTTTTGCGGACATGGAAAGGTATAGCGCGGTGACGGACAGCCGCTTGGACTGGCGAAGAGACCGTGTATCGTGGGACGACATCGTGTTCTGGCGGGTGACGGGTTGGAAAGAAGAAGATGAGGACGTAGATGCTCTCGACGCCGGTTGCAACATTGTTGCTACAGACATATTGTGAAAGAAAAGCTATGGTGGTAGTTGTGCTAAATAAATCCTCACAGACGGACAATCGCACAGATACGCTTGCACTTATATCGAGGAGAGTCCAGCCACTGGGCGTGAAGACACGTTCGGATCAAAGATCACTGGGAACCGCCAGATAATTGTCGCTGGTTGGATCTTAGATGTCAAAATTCAGACCCTGATCATCTATGGTTTGAGGTGTGGGCGCGCGGCACGTAGCGAAGTCTGCAGATTATACTCCTTATCGCAGGTATCGAAGAGGGACCTGTCGGAGTGAGCGAAACGCGATCAATGGAGACTGCCCAACGGATTATGAATGTCGCAGACGTTTTCGACTGTTGATATATTAGGAATAAATTGAGGGTCGACGGTTGTACGACTTTCGAGCGGAGCGTTGGAGCGCTAGCAACAGAGGGATCGATAGTTTTTCAAGAAGTCAGGGGCGATCGCGGGGTCCGATAAAGCAATTGAGACAGTTGGAGTTGAATTGTCTCAAGCGGAGAAGTTAAAAAGAATGTCGAGACCGTTGGTGTAGGAGATGGTTGGGAGGGAAAGAATATGCACAGTAAAGTAGGGAGCGCAAGGATGGATTGGAAGAAATTGGTGAGGCCAAAGCGATAGAGTATTAAAACAAAGTAGAGAAGGGGCGGCAGGAAGATCAAATATTAGATGTATGCGAATAACTTAGCGACCGACAGTGCCAAAATTAAAAGGAGGGTACAAGTCCGTATAGTATTAGTTGGATAATAATGATATCAAATAATGTCGATGATGGCAAGTTTAATGGATATTAAGAATCAGGAAGCAGGAGGGGTTACGGAGGAGCGGGAAGGAAGAAAAGTGTCAAATAAAATAACAAAAGAATAGACGACTCATTTTGGGTTTAGATATGGGAGAAGCAATAAGAAGAAAACAAAAGAACAAAGGGAAAAGCCGAAAAATAAAAAAAAAAAGAAAAAGGGAAAAAAAAAAAAAAGAAAAAGAAGGAGGGGAAGCCAAGGCACCCTCGGATGGGGATTTCTGATTTTTTGGCTCAGGGATAGTACTAACCATCCATAATTGTCGATACGGTGGAGATAGGCATACCTTACCATGCATTAACGTAAGAGACTGAGCGCCTATGCATATGCGAGGAGATATAAGGGCTCAGGAGCTGTTCAAATAAAAAATAAAATGGTTTAAATTCCTCATGCCATTAAGCAATAATCAGTCGAGAAATGTCCATGGGGGGGTGTGATGATGATTGTTCCTGGCTCCCCATAGGTACCTGGTACCTGAGCTTGTACACTCCGTACCTGGTTACAGAAAGTTCAAGACCAATGGATAGGACCCAGCAGTTTGTTCCGCCTTTTCCTGGTACTTGGGTCTGCGCGATGAATATTCAATATTTCCTTTGGCAATTAAGAGTACGTAGCAGATATAGGTTAATAGGATTTCTCATACTCCGTACCAACAAAAATAATGTTAACTTAATTCATATATAAGTCCATGCAGGTCATGCCATTCGGCACCTGAACCGGCATTCCTCCGCAAGAAATCCTTCGAAGTAGCCAGATGTTGATGATGTATCTACAGAGCACGAAGGTGATGATTAATTTTTCAAGCTTAGGATGATATGCATATACGACTAAAGTACGATCTCATCATAATCCTACTGATATCAACAAATGTTCTTGTCTTCTGTAAGCACAGTAGACTTGAAATATCCAAAGTGATCGCCAGGCTTTGACGACTAGACAATTGGCAAAGTTCGACAAATTTATTTGTCCATTGTTTCACTCTATGCAGGGTTGATGTTCCTTGTTTCCTGACTTCTGCCTTGGGTTCTTTGATTCCATTTTCCCTGCCTTTCAAGGGAAACGGTTTGTATCACCTGCCCTGCTTCGGGCATCAGATCAAGGAGATCTTAACAATTCTACGGTGTATTTCAAGGCAAGTTTATCCGAATCAATGAACGGATGATCATCTCCCGCAGTCTTATTTTCTCCTTTTCCAGAGCCTGACGTTTGAAAATTGAATGGCACCCACTCGATGCAGGACGACGCAAGGGGAATGTCTCCATCCACCGCAGGCTGGAGCCACCTGCCGCACGCACCTGAAATGTCGGTAGACAGATGCTGGAGACAACCCTCGAGCTAGAGTATCTAGGTATCCAGCCTGTGCGTACCCAGCGAATAACAATGAAGAAGGTAACTAGTCCTAACTTTCTTTCCCCTTTGTGTGCTGGTGAGGATGGAGTCTATCAAGTAGGTACAGAGTCGGAGTAACGGAAAATTAATAATAGTGGTAAATTATGATTATCATCATGGGGCTAAGTTTTACCCCTGGCCCAGTGCGTTAACCTGTGACCAGCCGCTACTCCCAGATCGCCATCCCTCAAACTGTAGGTCAGATTAAAATGCGGTCTGTCAGACTACCATTTAGCACCTAGTGCTTGGAGACCTTTTGAACATAATCATCAAATATGATGAAATTGTGTACAAAGTAACTGTTTGAGAATTTACTTCTCATCTCCCAATAATAATAATAATAATAATATTTGTTGATTGGATATTTTAGCTGGTTGATAAATAATGATAACTCCCTGCAGACTCCTCAGTAAGGAAATGTGGAGTGGCGGTTAGATAGTTGGAGACAGAAACGACCTGGACTAAATGTCTCAGAGACCATGTTGCACATTTCTTGTCCGAGTCTTTGCCTCCAGAGGTGTCATATGCAAATGTTATCATTGCAATGCTATCAACAGCATCATCATTACATCTGCTAGAGAGTGTAAAACCTGAATTCCTGAGTTCATTCCTCAGGGATGCTGATGGTTTTCTGCCATGTGTGCTTGGATCTGTGGTGCTCATTGGCTCCGCACCATTCTAACCTGAATCATGGCTGTCTTACTGCATTGGCCCACCGTTCTTTTCCCACCCCCTCTCCATTACGAAGTGCCTGGGCAGGCACTCCATGATGGTTGCTGATAAGAGTCCTTATCAGAACACTTATCTTGCATTCCTGGTATTCTTGCTTTTGGTGCTAATGTAGTCTAAATATGAACTAGAAAACTAACTCACAATCAATCAGCTGGCGGCCTGATCAATAAATATAGAATGTTGTCTCACAGAAGAATGGGATTAATCCACCGATTTTGGTTTTCTCAGGGCAAATAATGATAGTGCTGGTACCTGACTCTTCCAACTGTGGTGTGACCGCACTAAGGCCTGGAGTCCCCTGGAAGACGAGGAACTAGCGGGTTAGTGCCCTTGCTAAGTATCCACCTGATCAGACTGGGGCCTGGTACCTGCGTCAACAAGTCGACAGCATCCGCAATTATTTTATTTTTATCTTTACTCCTACAGAATGTGCACTAAGAAGCTAAACCACCGCGTCTAATGCTTCAACGTCAAGAATCCAACATCAACACTCGTGATCCATAATTGGGAACTCTGGTGTGGTTTTTTGCATATTCATTCCAGGAAGAAGATTCCGAAGACTCGATTTGCTCATCTCTAATACTTCCAAGGCTTTTTTGTTGCACAGCTCGATATCAATTACATCATGACCATTTTTTAGAGGATGGTCAGAAACTAGTCATGTGTGTAAACCGACAACCACGGATGTCTCAGTAGACGATCAGCTGCGTAATACCCCATATTCTTACCGAGTACTCTGTACGGAGTACTGTTGTCTCTAAAGGCGGCTATAGACATGCAACTGTATTTGGTCATGGACTCGCATCAGAAGACCACTAGGTATGCATCTGTCATTCAAACGTATCGACAGTTCAGGATTAATCCTGACAGTAAATGCCAGATCCTGGTCAAGTGACCTGTAGATAGACTCCAGCCGCTGCATGACATTGCCTCCAGACTAAGGTCTTGCGCTGTGTAAACTGTAAACTCATGAACCATGCCACAAGCACAGACCTCACTTCCACGACCAAGACACGAGATCTTACCTTGGCCCTGGGACCCTCAGGACAAACTTCGTATTCTAAGAGCTGAAGATTGGCCGCGTCCTCAATCCTGGTTCAAACGGAGTGACGGTTGATGGCAACCACGGCACCAAAAGTGCAGCTCTGCTGGGTGATGGGACGGCGCACCTGGACGTCGGATCGAGCTCAGACCTCATGCTAACTAGGTGCTACTGCACTCCGCAGCAGGCTTGTGCAGAATAAGTGTCGCAAGTATGGGGTAAAAAGCCATAAGCATATTGCTTTTGCATGCTGTGTCTCTTGCTCTATTGAACTCTGTTTCTCTCTCCAGACGTCTATGTTCCGTCTTCTCATCTATCGCATCATCTACGTATTGCTCTTTCAATGGCACATGATAATCAAGACGGAAATATTTGAAATATCATCTAGATTGATCCTTCTCTATATCTACCCCATACTCTGAGCATTAAGCTACTGGTGCTGACAAATATTATCACATGCATATCTCCCCAATAATTATACATCAATGTTAATAACATCAACCAGTAACAAGTTGGTACAAGCAGACCAAATCAAAGAATCGGTCACCCTCAATATACACATCTCCGATCGTAAACAAACATCATGTCAATAAAAACCACCTATCTCCTCCTCTACAACATCCTCTCCTCCACCGTCTGGCTCCGAATCCTCCTCGGCGTCATCGCCGCACTCCTCTCGCCAAGTCACCCAATCCCAAATAGTATATACCCTCACCTCGAGCCCCAGACAAGATGGACCCAAAGCCTCGCCATCGTAGAAATCCTCCACGCCGCAACAGGTCTTTTGCAGTCCTACTCCAACTCCAGGCAAAGCTAACCGGAATACACAGGACTCACCCGCGCCCCCGTCTTCCCGACCTTCACCCAGATCTTCACGCGCTGCGTCCAAGTCTGGGCCGTAAACTACCAGTATCCCGAGGCTACGGCTCCGTCGCCCGCCTACCCGGCTCTCCTGCTGGCCTGGTCCGCGGCGGACGCGGTCCGGTATGCGTATTTCGGCTTTCTTCTGG